CCAGAAAAAAAGAGTTTTTCACAATCTTTCTAAAATCTAACTTTGTTATCAGCAGCCTTATTTCAATCACTCTAAAATTTTCATCGATAGACAAGTGCCATATTAAGACAGGTCCTTCCGATCGTCGTACAGTATGGCAGAATAAAAAGTAACAATTAAAGTTTTGCTATTTATGGGAATCGGATTTCATCTACGTCATTGTCCCTTGCTTTCTGGCTTAGATGAATCCAGTCCACTAGATATTAAGTCTATCTACTTTCTCTCTCGCCTGATTACTGGAAAGAAGTTTCCATATTGCTGTGGGAATATTCTCCATTCATTCCTAAGAGGTGGTTTTAGTGGGTTCAAGTCTCACACTGTGTCTTTTGATGCTTTCTACCTACTGCAAAAAAAAAAACTGCGTTTGACCCACCTATTTCTTTTTCTTAATTTCTTCTGATTACACGTTTTTGATCGTAATGAAAGAGCTGAAGATTTTGTCGAATAACAGAAACAGATGGAAATGCTTTATTGAGACCCTATGCTCCAGAGGGAGATACAGGAACTGGTGATTATGATGATTTGTTTCTGATTTGTCATTTCTTCTTGCTACTATATTACAAAAGATTTTTTGACCATCCATACGAAGTAGATAACTATTCCACTAAAGTGCACAGCTTAATTTTAGCGGATTTTAGATTGATTGCGTGTAGTTCGTGATTGCAGCATTTCCAGAATCGCTTTTGCATGTCCAAAGTAGTACTTTTGTTACGTTGAAATTAAAAAATGCATTATTCCCTTTAGTGTTTGGAGTGGCTCATCATACTTATAACAAGTTTACCATAAACTGCGTTTTCAATATGAATTATGATATCTTCTTTAATTCCGATACAACAGTCAATGCCAATTTCGAGATAAATAAATCTTATATTTTAAAACTTTCAATGGAAACATATCATCACTGCATTGAAGAAAACTTTAATGTTATCTACAGATCTGATATATTTATTATTAAATTCCAATAAAATCACTAAATAGTTCTACGTCGTCATTTTCTATGATTCTTTTATTATATCTCAGAACATGATTTGTATTCTACGTGGAAGACAGTATTTGGTTATAAAGTTGATAACGAAATATTAAAATAATATATTAAGTACGATCATAGGTATATTTACACAATTCTTATATATATAATTTTACAAAGAATTAAATTGTAAATTTTAATAGCTCACAATAGCTCTTTTACAGCACTATTTTTATAAACTGTCTAAATGTTTTTCTAAATGTATTACTTATTATCATATTAAATTAAAATATTGTTAATACTTGGTCAGTTAATACCGGTTTCACTTCGTAAGTTACAGGTCTTGTCATCAATCCCTCTACTATAAATTAGAATACTGAGAGCGCTATGGCTAATGCAGAAGTTACTCATCTTATAATTAAGAAATCCTAATACGAAACAGGTTGTGCAGTGGAAAGATACAACTGTTGAAGGTGGTAATAGCGAAAATTATACGAAGAATATTAAGTGTAAACTTTTTTGCTCACGATTACAAAAATCGTGGTTGTGGGTACTGATAAAAATGGATTGAACACCGCAGTTGATGTCAAATGAAAGGGATGCGTGCTAGTGAAAAAAAAAATTAGCAGCTTCCGTCTTACCGGCAGGAGAGTAAAAGAGGGTTTTTAAGAAAATATATATATATATATATTATATACTGTAGTGGGGGAATAGGTTCAACTGGTTTGAAGAGTTTGGGATAATAGTCAATATCAAACGAAGTATATTGGGGCTAAACTCTGTGACAGAGGCACAAAAATTGCTGTAAAGGATATTGATTATTGACATATAATCGAAGAGGAATGACAGGCAATGCGTTATTTTAATATCCATAATTAAGATCAAATTAGAAAAATTCGTGCTTGTGTAAAGAAAGTCTGCAGGATTCTTCAAATAACCATATAGCAGCGGTTACCGGCGGACGAGTGCCAATCTTTTTTGTGTAGCATAAGCCAGAGAATGTGAAATTACTAACGATAGTTAATAAAGTTGTGAAGGACTTTGTGAGCCAATAGTCCCTATTTTTTCATTTAAGAAAACTAATTGCCATCTGTATGTTAAGTTGCTTATAGTAACTGAGTTTAAAATAACCAAATCACCTCAATTTTGACTGAGTAGTGCATTGATAAGTTCGTCATGCTTCAAAGTACTGTTTAAATTAATGATGCTAAGTTTCATTTGTTCTTAAGAGCATAACAGAGAGGTCTCGAATTTGCTTGCAATCTAAATTGAGGTGTTTTTGACCTCGAGATTGTCGTTGGGGTATGAAACCCTGACTACGATTTCAGCATTGGCTACTGGCTATTTCTGAGGTAATTAATTTAAACCTAGAAAGAAAGCTGAAGTGTGGGATGGCTATACGATAGGAATTAAAAGATTTTATAGAAGTAAGATGATTGTCAGTAAAGTAAATTTTTTTGACAGGATGAATTAGATTGTTTAAAGTGAGAGAGAAAAAAACCGACTTAAACCTGAAATTATTAGTCACACAGAAACAGTTTCACAACACCGCAAAGTGCCACGGGAACACCGAATTAGTGGAATTTGTTAGAAAGATCATCTTGCAAAATAATATCGAATATTGGTCCTATGGCCCTTTAAATACCAAAGCCAGTGTTAAAAGTCAATGCTAGTTATGGAAACCAAATAAACCTTATTTTCATAATATATCTTTTGATCAAAAAAATGTTTGAGATATAATATTGTAGTAAAAGAGATATTATATCATTTAAATATTAATGTTATTAAATATTATTTTAATAAATAATGTATAATTTATATTATTTTATTTCATTTATTATAATGAGTTTGTTTTAAAAATTACTTTTATTTTATTATATTATTATTAATATTGTTTTTTGTTTTTGTTTTGAGTTTATTTATATGTAATTAATTATTTATTAATTAACGGCTATTAATGTAAACTTTTGAAATACTAAATTGGGTATTTTTATAAATTTTTTATGTTTTTTTAAATTATATTTATATTTTTATATATTGTTTTAGTCGTTTTCTATATTAAATATTAGGTTATGAATGCAGTCCTACCTAAAAGATCTATTGTGCCCTTAGGCCCAACTAAAATAATTCTAGACTATTTATAAATCTCAAAATTGCTGTGCGATTTTTTTTCCATATTTTCTATATAAAGTTGCCATTGCTTGGAAATTTATATAGATTGGTGTTTGATATATGATTGTCACTGTTCTGCAAACGATAGTTGAGCAATTAGTCCAAAACAATTATATTTTTAATAAAATAAAATAATAAATATTTTAATAATGAAAATATATTAATACAAAATTATATTTTTTTTTTACAATAATTTTTAATTCGAATGTTGTTAATTCAAGGATTTTCACTTTAGGTTTTTTTATGGCTCAAATTTAAATATAAATGACAAACACATAATTTAAGGGTTTATGCTGTCAATTTCACTCAGTTATCACTCATTTAAATAAATTCAATAATTGTATGAACGTTCATAAAAAAAAAGAAATTGAAGTAAACAGCATTACTAAAATATCAAATGCTTGCCGTAACATACACACACACACTTGTAAGTTCATACATAATTGCAAGCAAACTATATTATTTTAGCATTAAATTTCATGGAATCAGAACTAATAATTATTATTGTCCAATTTATGCTTAAGGCTTGATATTGCAGTTTAAGTAAAACTACGTTTCATTTTCAATTTAGTTTAGTTTTTTGTTGTTTTATTTTATTGTCTGTGACACCTAACTGGACTCTGGTTAGGTAATTATTATGTTTAAATTGAGCTTAAGCTTTTGTAATTACTATTGCATATAAATACTATGTTTCATTTTTCATTTAGTTTTGTTTATCTATTTTTTGTTTTTTGTTGTTTTTGACACTTAACTGCTCTGAAGTGGGTGATTGGTTTGTTTTGCTTAAATTTCATTCAGTACTGGAGTGTGTTAAGTGTGATAAAAAGTGCGGAGGTATTAAATTTGATTTAAATGTTAATTTGAAATAAATATGTAGTCAATTAAGTAAATATGCAAGTTTAGTTTAAAATTAAATTTATTATTAAAATTTAAAATAGCGATTTACGAAAAGTGAATATTTTAATAATATATACGGCTTACGGTAAAAAGTTTTAAAAATATACATGCATATATCAGTGTCTTTTGTGTGAAATGAAAATCGTAGCGGTTTTGAAACGAAACAAGAACCTTTTGTAAGCAAGTAAGTCATATAATAGTCATATTACTATATTACCAAATTGTATATAATATAATAATTTAATATTAAGCATTCCCTTAAATATTAATTAATTAAATTGAAAAATACTTTTGATTTAAAAAAACATGTTATTTCCACAGAATGTTTCCACAGAATTTATTTCATCACGCAATTTCTATTTTTTTTCTTTGTTTCTTCTTTTACTGTTAGTGCTTTTTTATTGTTGTTATTATTGCTTTTGTTGTTGTTGAATAAAGTATGTTCAGTATGTTCAGTATGTATGCTTAAGTATAGACTACGTTCTATTGTTGTTGGTATGTTTCCTTAGGCACAGGTGTTGTTGCTATCGCTGTTGTTGTTGTAGTGTAATGAAGTGTGTACTTGATTTTTCAATAAGTTTACTGAATGGAGACGAAATAACAGATTTTAGTTTGTAAAAATAATTTTGTTATTTAGTATAAACTCCCTCAACTTTAATACACATATTCTAGCTTCGGTTATGTTAAAGTACCCGTCTTATACATTAAAGCCCACGTAATCAATAATAATGGACCACACGTTACTTATAATAATAAAAGAACAACCACCAAAAAATATATAAAGTCTAATATAGTTAGACAATGTCAGTTAGGACAATTTAGGCTTTACACTCTAATTTAATAAAAGTGCACCAATCTAATCACGCTACAAACTTGACTAAGTCCATATTAAGAAAAGCTGAGAAAAAAGAAGCACCAACAATTTTTAATCTTCTACTGGCTAAAACTGGACACTAATACGAAAAGTAATATGTGGTTCTCTTGTTCTTAACATTACACCCTAAAAGTCATTATAGTATAAACCAAGTCAATTTGTATGTCTGTGTATTACCGTGAACTGTCAGTGCCGATATTCCGGTACTAAATAGGTTGCGATTTAGTTACAGCAGCTCATTAGAGAGATTGTTGTTCAATTTGGACTAAGCCAATCATAGCAAGGGGGTTTATCTATCTATTTTTTACATATTCTTTAATACATTTATTCCAGAAATTCTTTAATTAATGGATTGCATATATATTTTGGTTTTTCGGAAAATTTATATAGTACTCTCCCACAGTAGCAGTAGTATTACATATGCATACTTGGCCTACTTCTAAACAGGAATTGACTTTAAACTCGAAATGTTTACATTATTGCTTAGCCCTGTATTGACTCGAGAATTCTTTTTGTCCCATTTGTTTAATCCTTTTGTTATATAATATGAAAAGAACTACAAATACGTTTACTTTGATTGGGATGTGGGTAGATAATGGTAGTGCGAGAGTGGAGAAATTTATGTAGGAGTAAAAATGGAGTGGGGGTGAACAGAATTTTAATTGAAGTTAATCTGGATCAAAGCGGAAATAGATAGTCACTTCTATGTGTCAGATCCAAAGATCGATTGAACACAAATTTGTGTATGCATTGCGATATAAAATGAAATGTGCGATATCATACTGGGTAAAGTTACAATTAGGGAACACATTGGGAATCGACTCATTTATGAGTGATAAGTAATTGTTTAGCACATGGCTATATCCTAATCTGAATTGAGCTAGATCAGTTTTTGTTGCAGATGGAAGGTATTGTTAAGCCCAAGCGATATTTGGCGAAGGTCTATTGAGGCGGATCCAAAGATCGATTGAGCACAAGTTTCTGTATGCATTGGAATATGAAAAGAAAAATGCGATATCTTACTGGGTAGAGCAGCAATTAGAGAAGACATTGGAAATCGACCCATTTATGCGTGCTAAGTAATTGTTTAGCACATGGCTATATCCTAATCTGAATTGAGTTAGATCAGTTTTTGTTGCAGATGGAAGGTATTGTTCATCGCAGGCGATTTTTGGCGAAGGCCTATTGAGAACTTTATGGCAGTGCAACTGTGGTCTCGAAGATAATATTATAGTTTTTTATGTGAAGGACAACGTATATCTCAAGAGCAGCCGGATTTACGTTTCAGATCTACTCTTTCAATTATACGACCGAATAGTGTTCAAAATTGCTAAAAGAGACTGGTACGTGTTTTGTCTTATTTAATAAAAAATTTTCTATTTGAATGCTCGTTTTGTATTGTAAATTAATACAACCTTAGTTTTTTAAAAACTAAATTTATTTCTTAATATTTTGGTTAGTGTACCCCACTAACAGTACAATGACTAATTTAATAGAGTTTTTTTGAAAATTATTTATATGAAACAATAGACCTAACCTAAGATATTTTAGTGGGAAGTGGAGTTGTTTGAACTTCAAAACCTTCTCTTCTTTAGTGTATCCTACTGGTTCTCGGCAGCTTATACCTTACTCTTTTTTTGTATGGCTCACTTATTCACTGTCTCTAATATAGTACCTAATATCAATCGTCGATCCTTGAATGCCTATTTAAAATTTATTTGAGTTCCAAATTCCCATGCATAGACCATTCTCTTTACTGTACTGTCTTTTTGCTCGGTCAATCGACGATCTTTCAATGAGTATTTATTTATTTGAATCCCAAAATCTCATGCATAAGCCATTGTGTTTACTGTAGTGTCTAATACTAAATATCTCTTGGTCAATTATTGATCTTCCAGTACCATATTTAATACTTTTGAGGCGATTTCTGATACTGACATAATTTTCGAATATTTTGTGTGGATCGTTGTAAGGCTTCACTTTTAAACAAAGGCGCTGGCTAATAATCTACTATGTTCATATAATATTATCATATATTATTAAAAAAAATAGAAATGTATTTAAGAACTCCCTTAGCACATGTAAACGCATAAAATTATCTTACTTGGGTTGTAAGAATCGCTTTAGAAAATTTTTTTAAGTAATTCTAAAATGCAAATTATATGTTGGGAAGATATTTGAGTATTTATTTTTTATTTAATATAAAATTAAAATACTTTCGCTGTTGTTGTTGCAACAGCTTGACTGTATTGTGTCCTGGCTGTTAATGTGGTTGTTTCTGCTTATAATTTCACGGCAACTCATTTAACGCGAATGCATTTTATTCACACTTAATTTAAATTTGACAATTTTTGGCTTTCACTGGAAGTGGCAGCCAATGTATGTGTGTATTTGTATATGAATGAGTGTGAATGTGTTTGTAAGTGCTTTGGCTTCCCCAAGCCGTCACAGCTATTTTGCATATTTGTGTGCATAAAATAAACTTCCGGTTAAGTATTGTACTCTCGCATAAGTATAATGGCTGCAATACGAGCGATGTCATCCCTGCATTATGAGTACATATGTGTGTATGTGCGTGTGGGTGTCGCATCAGTTGGTGGTACTTGGGGCAGTGTGTAGTGTTGTGAAGTGGTTCATTAGTTTGGTTTTTCCTTCTATTTCAAATAAATTCCACATTAAATACTTTTGTCGCGTTGAATTTAATTTGTTTAGCAATAAATTAACTTGAACACATAATTTACGGAAATAAGCGCACATCTCATTCGCCGCCATTGCAGTGCAGAGCAGTGCAGCATTGGACCAGTGTTGCCTTGTTGTGGGCTGATGTGTGAAATGTTGCATGTTAGTTATTTTGTATGCACATTGGCAACCCACTCATTGTTCGTTGGCTTGCTTGCTGCCTGTTTGTTGGAATGATTTTTATGTTTTTTGTTGTTATTGTTATTGTAATTGTAATTGTAATTGTTATTATGTGTTTAGGAATTATAAAATAGACAAATATTTTGTTAGTTCTCTTGTTTATGTTTTTAAAATAATTGTTGTTCAAATTGTTACTATTAGGTTTTTTATGCTTTAGTTGAGCCATACAAAATTTCAATTTTACTGTTTTCTATAGCTGAAGCGTGAATAATTACGCTTATTCACTCCACTAAACGCTATTATTATCCTTGCAGTTTTGTGCGAAATCCTGTGATATTTTTGTATTATTGATTTTAATGATAATTTTATTGTTCCAATTTGTTTATAAATAGTTCAATTGAATTGAGTATTTCGCTTCAGTTAACAATTTTCAATGAAAACAAAAACATTTCATGTGATATAATAACAATTAGTAATATTAAATTGAATACAATTAAATATACAAATATATGAAACCATAATAATAATGTATAAAATAAAATAAAAAATACTTTTTTTATTTGTTTAAAAACATTTGTTATATATGTAAATTCTCAAAATTTTTTATAGTAAATACTTATAACACTAGCAGCAAGTTACTTCCCTCAAAGTATTTGTTATTAATATATAAAGTGGAGCAGTTAAACTCTAACTAATCTTAAACTAATGGCAACACTGTCTATATTTCGTCTATCATAAGATCATTGGATATTTTTATTTTGTCATTCGATGAATGATCATGGTAGTTTCTTGCTCTATTTGGTCATGTCATGTATTTGGCGCATGTTATACAGAGAGTCATACAACAATTGCCAATTTACTACTATTTTAGTACGTTTTTTGAAGCATAAATTCAAAAAATATTTACTTTTGTGTGAATATGCTAATAAATCCATACAAAAATATATATAGTCCTGCTAATGGGTGGAAATTTTAGTATTTTTACTGAACAACAAAGTCACTAGGTACTCTAAGCCTCGTCACCGCGTAACCAAATTTATATCGACAATTTCTCTCTTATTCTTAATTTTTTTATTAATATTTAAAATAACAATAGTTTCAAATTTGATGTCACCATGACTTTTTGTATAACATGGCTTTAAGTGTTGATGCGTACATCAACTAGTGCGGTAAGGGGGCCGCATTTTAGGATATATATATGTTTTTAGGGATCGGTTTAATTAATTGTCGGTTTACTTTACGTGATGAGTGCCAACGTGACGGGTGCCAAATCCGTGGCACAACCCAAACTGAGAAGAGAACTCGCTGTGTACACTACATATAAGTTTACGTGGATACTTACGAGTGCTAGTGTAATATAACTATATGAAGGGTATTATTATTACATAGCAACACTGCAATTCACTGCACTTATAAATATTCTTACTCTTATAAAATATTGTTATATCTCATTTTTTTTGTTAATATATTTAGTTATTTGATAGTTTATCCTCTTCTCGTTATTGTAATATTTTATTTTAATTGTCTTTATATTTAATGATCTGACCATATTGTAAACTATTCTAATTACTCAAAGGAATGAATTTTATTTGGCAATTCAAAATATTTTTACATAGTTAATTTACCAACTGAATAAATACATTTTCCTTTTAGCTTATTTAATTGCTTTACCCCAGTAAATATTCTTTGCATTGTGTTTTCGTATGCAATCCTTGAGGTTAGCTTTAACATATTTACTTTGCATATACACACATATTGTTGTAATTTCTTTTATAAATTTAAGTTTATATGTGTTATAGCTTATATGTATTTATGGCACACATAACTATTTACTTAGTTCCATTAACACTCCAAGTTTTGCCATTATTGCCCTTTGCGCTGTACACATATCAGCAATAAATCACACATTACAAATTGGGGTCAATTGTCAAGAATCGCCATTAAAATTAATATTTCAATTTAATGCTATGGATGCATTTAACTTACATCTGCACATACATATGTACAAATTGA